CATCCCACTGGGTGGAGGGCAAAATGAGCAAGTGGCTGCATGGTGCTTAGTTGCTGGCTGGGGTTAAACCACGACAACCGTTGAGATCCAAACATGCAAGTTTTCCTCTTACACACCAAGGGGAACCCTTTTATCCTATTTTCTGCCTGATAAGCTAGATTATGCATGATCTTCCTATGTGTAATATTCCAAGCCCCCTTTTAGATGAAGTGCTACGGCCATGTATTTATGCGTTTCATTTCCATTCCAGGGTTGCTCTTCATTGGTAAAAGGGATGTTTCAAATTAGTGAGGGAATGAGTAGGGAACTATTCATATCTGTGACATACTCACTTGATGGTAGGCGAAACAGGTTGTTCACTAACAAGTGGTTTGCATTGCTTTACAGTATGATTTGCTACACATTGTGCTTTGATGTTTAGCAAACAAATTGGTGCGCTCTTCTTGCCAAACATCTGCGAATGAAAGGGACATGCAACTCTGTACAGCTTAGTACACGCCTGAAATGATGCGTCAGAGTCCATAATGACCTCTCCGCCATGCATGCATTAATTTGCATGAGTCCTAAAATCAAGAAAGCATCAAACAGCCATTTAATAGTGTATTTCACGTGTCACTTAAATTTCACATGAGGTTCTGATCACATTATAACTCTTATTTATCAAATAAATTCATAGTGGCTTGTGATATTGGCTTGTACCAGTTCTCTCCAGAGTCCTGTGTAAAGGTCAACGTAATGATGCACATTCAAACATAATTTGTATGTTCCGTCTTTAGAAAATTTCCTAGAGGAAACACAGTTTTTGGCCCTTTATCATGTCTAGTCACAAAACTCAGTTGGTATATTTGACAAAACCCTCCCTGACAGCTTTAGCTACTGGTGTAAGTTTGGCATAGACCTACAGTATGTATGGCAGTTTTGTGGTAGAGTACTGGGGGAGGTTTTCACCTCGTGTCTCACTTGTACACACTTAAGAAAATCTCTATATATGGCTTTTCAGACAAAATCAAGCAAAAGCTGAGCAGACTATTCATTTAATCTGGACTTTATTTTGCCTTGTTACTTATAGGCTTATTGAAGCTTTGAGGAGAATAAGATCACCTGGAAATGGGAATAGAAGTTTTGTCCAGAAGAGTAAACTGCAACAGAGTTTAAAAGACACAATGCAATCCGCATGCTCCTGCTCCTCAAGGTGCTTTGTGCTTGGAAGGGATGAGAGTTTAGAATAAAACCTGATTTCGTAAGACAAGCCTGAGCATTGCAAACCTGTTTCTTACTGCCTACCTCCATAGCGATGTCTTTCTTGAGTGCCAGTGCACCACGGCCAGCACCTAGGAAGGCTGGGCCCCAGAGAAACCCAGCCAAGCTAGGAGGGGGTGACCTTGGGTGGACAGCAGAGAAATGAAGGGATCTTAAATTCACCTCCTTCTGGGGCTCCCATACCTGACTCAGCACTGCCAGGAGACGCCTGCCTCCGCTTAGGATTTGCTGCCCTGGATTATCCTCCGAGGGAAACACCTATCCTGTTTCTTACAAAATGGGAATAGTGTCATTCTTCTTTTGAAATGCAGTTAGAGGAGGAAAGGCTGCTTTGACCTCCCTCTGCACATTGCTGGAGGAGATGCCCAGTGCTCAGAAGACCACAGTGCAACTCCACTCTTTCCTGAGCAGTGGTACAAAACTGTAAATCGTACTTAAAAGGCACCTGTAAAAAAATATATAAAAAAAAAGATTGCACTGTATGGGTATCAGTATCAACTGACAGAGATTTTACCAGCCGTGAGAGCTATGAGGCATCTCTGTACTGCCTTTGCACAGCTGTGCCTGTGCCAATGTACGAGGCACCTGTGCCAAAAATCCT